TGGACCTCAAGAGGTGAATCCCCGGGTACAAAGGGGGAGTGGTATAAAGTGGTATATATTCCAGCTAGCTGTGACAAAGCCTGCAGAGGATTGTAAGCTACTCCATCCAACAGGGGTTAGCTTGAAAATTGCAGTGGTTTTTCTCTTCTTATGCATTACCTGAATCTTGTAAACAGAGGCCAGAGAGTAATGGAATTTGTGTCATGGAGTTGATGGCATATGTAATAGCTAGGAGAGATACTGGCATACTGTTCAGTGGATGCACTCTACTCCTTGGGCTTATCAAGAAAATCGTAACAAGATGAGACCTCAGGTATAAAAGAATGAAGTACTGTCCATATATTGAAATATTTTATAAACTCTCATGTGTTAAACTTTGATTAAGAGGAAAAAAAGCATAGGTAACTTAAAATGACACAAAAAATTCAGGAAGATAGTAATGCATTTCATAGATGGAAAATTGAATACAATTTTTGAAGAAAGAAAACCTAGAATAAGTATATTAAGCATCTGACTAACATCACCATAGTGCCTAAGAAGATAAGCAGGCTTAGCAAGAGATAGTATGCTTTGGCATAAATCTGATATGGGGGAGGCCTGCACATGTGTTGAGAGATTTTTGAGGTAGGCAGCACTGAAATTTCATCGTCATGATTGTCAATGTTGCACTGATTTTCTGAACTACGGCCAGAGAAGGTAAATTTGCTATGATGTAGATTATTCAGGAAAGATAATCCCATTCACTGTCTTTTTGAAATGCAGCATTTTCTGAATTTCAAATTTTGGAATTTAGCATAGTTTTTGCAGTGACAGGCGCTGTGTATTGCCAATTGATTGCCTGTGTAAGCCAGCAGGCTCTTGTCTCTACATAGAGCCTCATAGTGTTGTTCAAGCTCCGTGTGTGGGCTTTAAACTTCTCAGCTGTCTTTGAAGTAGACATTCTTTTTCATCTGTTTTACATGTGGGAAACTGTTATGTAGGCTGATAATCTGTCTCTGCTCTCTGAATATTCAGTAAATAATGTCAGAGACTTGAGAAGCATTCCACTATTTTAGCTTTAGAGTATGTTTTGTCTAAGGTAGTCTATTAACATCAAATACAAATTGCATCAGAGACAAAGCTTAGAAAAACAGTTGTCATTCCTTGCTGTAGCAGTGAAATCCTTATTAACATTGTCCTTATAGCCCTATTGCATTATTTCTGTTTTACCTTTGAATCTTTACTTATTTGATAGGCCAGTCATTCACCTCCATCCTCCTACTCTTTCATGAAGTACAGCACCACTGCACTGAAAGTGGTGTGCACTTCTTATTCCCTAAGGAGTTAAGAAAAAACTACTTTATTCCCTTTTTCTTTTATGCTGGATTATTTTCTGGTTTTTTGCATGGTGCAGTATTTTGTGCCACAGGAACAATGCTTGACATGCGGTGTCCCTTTGCTTTGATGTTTAGCCATCCTTGAAAGCTGTTCACTGCTTTGTGTGCTTCCTTGTTATGAACACTCTCTCTTAAATAACCTGACAGTGTGACAAGTTATTTAAAACCACAAGTAGATATTATTATTATTAGCTGTTTTTTTTTCTCTTAAGTTTTATCGCTATATTTAGAGGCACACTTTTTCAATAGCACAAATAAAAACGGTAAAACTTGTATAAGATCAAAGCATTCACTATTTATATTTTGTGAATGTAATCCTTGGATGATGCACCATGGGCTAGCTGGAAATTTGATCCTTATTGACTCTGCCATCTAAGAGAAAAAAGAAAATAGGTAAAAACTAAAATAGTAATTGGAAATAGCTCCTGTGGAGCAAAGCTGTCATGAAGCAGATTGATTTAGCAGTGGCAGAGTTGCTTTATTGATTGTAAGTCCTTAGTAAATTAAAAAGAGGACCAAATACGTTAATATTCTATGTGCACGTGTGTTTGACCGTGACAATTCAGAATGTTCTGCCAGGATAAAGACACATATAGGACTGTGGGAATGTTACCTACAGCAGTCCATAACAGACTTGTCAGAGATAAGAACAGAGTTCTTCAAAAACCCTTCTGTGTTAAATGTTCTTTCCTCTACTGTAAACAAAGGATAGAGGAAATACTCTTGCTTGTTTTTTTTAAGCATTCAGGTACAGTTCATCTAAATAAAGGAGTGAAGAACAGGAATTGCACTAATTTTCTTCACAAGTTCACAGTGGGTTCCTTAAATTTGATTCTCTGTCTCAATTGCAATGTCAAATTTGTTGATAATAGAAAAAGTACAAAACTAGTATATTCTAGCTGAGGACCTCAATCTGCTTCGTAAGCAAAAGTCAGTTTAGGATTTGGATTTTTGGCTCTTCTAATTACTGCTAATTACTTGATGTTATTTCCCATTTGCAAGTAAATTAGTCCTTTATTTATGTTTTCCCTCCCATGTCCTCACAGCTTTTCATAAGGATAAAATTCATTTAAATGGGGAGCAGCCACACAATGTGAAATCACAGTACAGAAGCTTTCCCTCCCTGGAAAAGTAGGGAGCAGAAACAGATCCTGTGCTGGTGAGGATTAGACTTTCCAGATGTTACAGAGATAATCTCCTGTTTTCAGCCTCAAATTTTGCAGCATCATAAATTTTGTTTCACATATTTCTTGTTGGCTTAGCATAGCTGAAATTTAGCCAGGAGGATGTGCCACTGCTGCCTGAAAATTCAGTTACCAGGGCTAGTTTAGTGGCCTCTCACTCCCAATGTGTTATCTATTATAGAGCACTCTGAACCTCTGTTGTTTTGGATGCACGGTTAACAGGACAGGGTTTGCAGAGCATCTTTTTTGAAGAGGCTCTGGAGCCATGCAGTTGGTGGGGGTAAAGGAAGTGGAGATGCATGAGGTGAAGCAGCACAGAAGTAGGGAGCTGGAGATGCTGTTTCCCACTGCTTCATATAGAGCCTGGCATGTGCAAGTGAAAGGGAACAAGGACCTCTTTTGGGCCCTGAAGGGAGATGGGAACTGGAAGTGGGGGGGGGGACCCAGCAGAGGTCTCTTCATTGACTCATGGGTAAAATGCAGTTCTTGAGTATCATCTGCAAAAACCAAACTTTGTAGCTACTACTGACGCAGAATGATGGACAGTGGGTTAGTGGAGCCTCCAGGAAGGAACCTGGACATACTTGTGTTCAGTTTATTTTGCCATACTATCTTGTCCCCTCACATCTGTCCCAGCAACAGTGAGCCAGAGAGGCAAAAGACAGACTGAGATATCATCTCACCCATTTCATCCCACCACTTCACTCCCCATTTCTTTTCTTTCCATGCTTTTCCTTTCCTTGCCTGTTGGTCCTGATTAGTTATCTTCTGGTTTATTTGCCTTGCCAAACAGCTACATCTTTTTACAGAAAGTTGCTGCTCCTTGTGCTTTATGGGACAACCTCCCCATCAGATTTGTAAAACCACTGTGTTTTCTCCTTTTTCACCCCATGCTTTTTTGAGGTTACCTAGAAATTGCGAAGTGCAAGGGAAGGAGTACAGTAGCAAGTGGCTGCCATTCATCTATTTTGTAGCTATTGAAGTGTTTCATAATCAGAGCTTATAGTTGTGCTTTATTCCTCTTCCCCCATATCTCTCCACCCCTTTCAAACCTGCTGTTTACCACCCTTGCCACTTCTTGCCTTTAATTTCGATAGCCCAACAGGAGAAGCTGTGTCACTCTTTGTGAGCGGTACTACAGCATAAATAATTTTTTTTCCTAAAAATGTAAATGCCCTTGTGGTTTGCTTGAATGTGCACAACATTAAATAGTAATTGTTGTAAGTGGCAATTTGTAGTGTTTAAAAGTCTTGCTTATTCAGTCTCTGTCTTGCTGTGTTTTTGTGCTGAATGACTGATCATTGCACCACTGTTTTCTCTTTGTTAAACGCATCTGTATGCAGAAGCAGAACTGCTCAATTTGTTTCAATCTGACATACTGTAGTAAGTCTGCTTTTAAATTGCATACTTAGAAGGTTACAAATCAGGTGGCAGCACTTTCATGGTGCTAATTCTCCAGTGCACCAGGAACTGCTGACTTGAATCGTTTTTGACCACTTTTCTTTCTCAGTAAGTCTTCTGTGACTTGTTTGGCTTGCTTAAATGACCTGCTCCTTATTTTCCACAGCAAGAGTTTCTCTCATTTGGGAAATGTAAAAGGATAACATTCCTAGCCCAAGCAAAAGCAAAATGTACCACTGCCATCTGGGCTGTGAAATTAGAATAAAGCTGAAAGCGTTACCTCCATATATTGCCATGGCTAGAAGCCAGATGGCAAATAATAAAAGGATGGTCTGGTAGTTGGCATGTTAGCCAGGATCTTTAGGGACTACATGTGCTTGTTGTGCTGCAAACCTCCAAGAATGTGTGCAAGTTGGAAATTATTTCTCTCACCTAATACTGCTTATATAAGTGTTATGTATCTACAGAGTTAATTGTCTCAGCTCAGTCTGCTGGGAATGGATAAGCATTTCCAGAGGGCATAGGGTCGTTCCACATCACTTAGCTCTACATTTTACACTAGGATGAACAGCCCTGCGGAGGATCTTGTCTCTCTGCATAGACATCACAAAAACACAGTAGCTGATGGTCTTAGATACAGCAAATGAGCCCCCTCTTCCTCTTATGCAGTTGCCTTAAGTTGCGGGGTAGTAATCCTTTCCTCACTCTCAGATACTCTAGAGATTAAACTGTGCTACTGTGTTCCCAGAAAAAATGTTTTTACTGTGAAAAGAAATTTTTTTATATATATAAAATGTTAATTATATGTGCATATCTTTGGACTGCCTGAGATACCTGACATGGTGCTGAATGGGAGAGATCTTTAGGCCAGGAAACCTGGAGACTTTTGCATCCCTAGGAAATATGCAGCTGTTCTGTAGCGGTATTCAGTTGAACACGTTAGAGAGGCAAACGAAGCTTGGACTTGAGAATACCTGACACGTATATGAAGCTCTATAAGTCACGCTTATTCACAGGGACTGATTTTGTTTCTTTTTAGATTGTGATGGATTTCAAACACCCTGATGGCCATACAGTGGCAATTTTGCTGCCCCGATGCAGTTTATTGGTGATGACTGGAGAATCCAGATACCTGTGGACACATGGGTAAAAGTCCCTGCATTGCTGATAATAGAAGAATAATAAATGTTGTTTGTTTGCTTTGTTAATGACATTCTTTGTTTGCTTTGTTAATGACATTCTTTATTTAAAATTGCTCTGAAAGAAATCAAGTCAAGTTTTATAATTAATATACATATTGACTCCACTGCTCACTTGCTGCTCAGGTTAAACTGTAAAACTTGGGGATTTAGGCAGCTGATTGCCAGTCCCAGAGGTGCAGTTTACTGCTGCTGTCACAAGTGAAGTTTCACTGGGAAATCTCTCTCTCTCTTATGTCAGCAGTGTGTAAGTTCTTAATAACTCTGAGCTGGCAAAGAATTGATTTTGGTGCAATTACCTTCATCTTTTCCTTTCTCTCTTTTCAGCTCACAGCTTTTCCCATTGGGTCACATATGCCAAAGGCTTCAGAGAGGGGCTGGTTTAGGAGAGTGACTTCTCTTACACAGAGAGCATGAGGGAGGGTGGTCATCCTGAGCTTTTCCCAGCTACTCTAGGGACACTTTAGCTGCTGCTAAGATTGCATTGTACTGAGCAGGTCTGGGGTCCTGGAAAGAGATCTCTTGAAATATGTCTTGATGTTTTGCCTATTATAGAATTTAAATACATGCTTTTTAAATTGTGCACCGCTGGGAGATACTTAAAATAGGAGTGCTGAAATTGGCAAAAAGGCTAAAACCTTGGCAAGATTTAAGAGTGACAGTAATGCACTTCGGGAGAATATGGAAACCCTCATATTGGACAGAAATGCCCATGGTAAACATTTCTTCCTTTGTTTGACCCAAGCTGTCACTGGTTCAGCAGTCAATTGGAGACACTAATTACATCCTGTGTAAATTAAACATCACATCCTTTTATTGGCAGAAAATTTTCTGCCTTTTAATTTTACTGGTTAATTGGTATCATGAAGAAGGATGAGTATGAACTCCCTGATAACCTTTACATTGTTCATTTTTATAGAGCTCCCAGGGGAAGGAGGGCTTGCATTTGCTGAGGCCTCAGCTTTTTCCAAGGCTACCAGCTCTGCTCCTTCCAAGCTGGTCCTGGGCAGCCACACTCCCAGGAGGCAGAAGGATGCATGCCTAGCCCTTGCAGTACTTGCCAGCAGGCATTCAAGTTGGGATAGTGTACCTACCTATTAAGAATTGGAATGAGATTATTGCTTAACTCACTTGTACCTTCAAGTGATGGTTGTCTTTTGAGAACCAACGACAAACTACATTTGAAATGAAGATCCCAGATATTTCTACTTACATATAAGTGACTCCTGTCCCACTGCTTGCCCACTTTTCCTTAGAATACTTTTTCTGTCTATTTTTAAAAGCAGTAGTGGGTCAAGATACTCAGTAGGAATAACCTTTCCATCAAGCTAGTGGAACATAGTATTGCAATCAATAAGATTAATCATCCAGCAAGAAAGTGTAGTTATTTCACTTGCACGCATAATGTCAAAAGGTGTTCAAGATCAGTTGTGATGCCTTTTATCTATACCACAGAAATCAAATTAGAGAGCAAAAGAGTCAGTTTTGAAATTATTCTGGAAATGTTTTCAATGTGTATACATATATAGCAAGGAATTAGAGACTTTAGTTTTGATCCTGTTAACAAAGTGCACAGAAAAAGGATTTTTAGTCAGTTCTCCCTGAAAGAGAAACATATGATTTAGAAATGAGCTATACAGTGTCATCAAAGAGGACAAAAGATGTATGCTCTTTTTGTCTCATAGGTGAAAGTAAAATTCTGACGACATTCATTTGTGATGTTTTTTGTTTTTTTTCCAGTGAGTTTTGGTTTTAGTTGGGTAACCTGGTAACACTCCATTCCTGACACTGCAATAGTAAAACCACTCTGTGCCAAGCAAGAGGGTGTGGAGCATTTTATTTTTGACATTGGGAATCCTATTTTTAGCCTAGTGTTTATCCAGAGTTCTTGCTTGTAGTATAGGTAGAAGGAAATTATTTTGGTTGAAACCAGAATCTTGAAAAATAAGACTTAATTTCTGTAAATATTATGCTTATCTTATTGATGCAGGTACAAAAGAAAACCAAAAAGAAAATCTGCTAACTCAGGATTTGAAGTTCTACTATCGAGGGAGTCTTGGGCATCCTCAGCTGATTAATTCATCATAGCTTCATTATCTGCTGATATTAGATCCCATTCTTTCCGTGGCTACCTTGGGAGATTTCCATTCTTTGAGCTGTTCAATGTCTCCTTTTTACAACATCTGTATGGAGCATCAATATGCTGCTTCCTGACTTCCAGACAGAAAGGACCTGCACTCTTTTTCCCTGGTACTGCTTGAGAGATCAGCTTTCCTGCAACAGGATAGCTGGCATACAGCAAAATACAGGAATTCTGATCAGGCTGCAGGCTGTCTTCTTGGCATTTGGGTAGTTCTTGGTTAAGTACAGGCACTGGTTGACAGTTTCATGTGACCTGCGAAAAAGATCCGGTAGAAATTTGAGATGAAATTGAGTGCTCACCTTTATAAAAATGTCAGACACCTTTTTGTTCAACCTAAGAGGGTTTAACTCAGCTAACTAATATGGAAGTCAGTTTTATGCTGAGAGTTTGTCCTGCTGAGAGTCAGTTACTTGGAAGTCAGCAGTTTTGAAGGGGCTTCACTGGGAGGCCAATTCCTTAGAGATGATTTGCTTGGTTGTTTTTTTTTTCTTCCATGAAATTTCTGCAGTAATCTCCTTGATAACTAAGTTCAGGAAGCGTTTCAGTGTGATAGTAACAGCTTTGAAGTGCTGAGCTATTTCCCTGAAGAGTTTCCATTTTGTTCCAAGAGTATCCTCTTTTTCTCATCTGCAAGTGATGGGAAGTTACATGTAAATGCAGCCATTTCTCTTCTCTTCACATGTTGTGTTTCTCATTTTACTTTCTCATTTTCCACTTCTCAACTTTGAGAGAGATCCATTTGGAGAGCTATTAAAAATTCTTGGCTTTGGTACTTTTTCATAATGTAAACCTCTTCATAAAATTAGAGAGTTCCAAATCACTTTAATTTTATTAATTTTATATGTGAAAAAATATTTTTGTGTTCCTTCAAGATCCATGCCAAACGCAGAAGTAGCTTAAGAAGCTCTGTTTCCAGTTTGCTCGCTTGCTAGGTAGATTTTGCTCAAGAAAGATCTACAACAGAAATTCTCCCTTTAAGCAGTTTAATAGATCTCCCAAGAGCTTAATTCTTTGCATTTTGTGCTGTCAATAAATGGAAAAGCAATTCTGTTATAAAGCAGAATTCATTTGAGAGGCCCATTTGCAATAAGAAACTTCAATCTGCTAATGTACACCTCAGCCAATTCTATGCTTTTTTACCCATAGCCACCATTTTAGTAGTGTATTCTGTCTTTACCATACATATTTTTATGTCACATTGTCATGGTTTAACCTCAGCTGGCAACTAATTACCACTCAGTTGCTTGCTTACTCCCCCCACCCTGATGGGGAGAATTGGAGGGAAAAAGTAAATTCTGTGGGTTGAGATAAGAACAGTTTAATAATTGAAACAAAGTAAAATACAATAATGACACTCACAATGATAATAATAAAAATGCTGGTAATGGTAATGAAAGGGAGAGAGAGAGAGGAATGAAAACCGAGTGAAACAAGTGATGCCCAGTGCAGTTGCTCACCACCCACTGACTAATGCCCAGCGTGTCCCATGCAGCAATGGGTGCCTCCCAGCCAACTCCCCCCAGTTTGTATACAAAGCAGGACACTCTGTGGTTATGGAATATCCCCAGTTTGGGTCAGCTGTCCTGGATAGGCTCCCTCCCAGCTTCTTGGTCCTGTGCTCTCTGGCTGAGCATGGGAAACGGAGATGTCCTTACTTAGAGTAAGCACTACTGAGAAACAGCTACACCATCGGTGTTTTTTCAACATTATTCTCATACTAAGTCCAAAAGACAACACTGCTACTGTTAGCACAGATATTAGGAAGGAAATTAGCTCTATCCCAGACAACACCAGGACAAAAGTAAATATATAAAAAAAATTAAGTCCTAGACAAATAAACAATCAAATTTGATGGAAGAAAAGGGAGGGAGGAAAAGGAAATGTAATTACTTACAATTAAACAACGCTTTAATTAATGTCATTAGTTTGTGTTAGCTCTTTTATGTCTAAAATTGAATAAGTAGAAAACTGAGAAGCAGCAGTATGTTAAATAGCATGTTGTAATCACATTTGTCCTAATGTGCAAGAATTGCCTTCTTACAAGGATGGATTGGGTTTTTTTCTGATGCAAATTGAATTATTCCTTTATTTTGTATTACTTTATTTTAGGATCACACCCCGAAAATATGATATCATTCAAGCATCTGAGCTTGGGCAAAAAGTTGGAACAATCACTGCTGATGTTGGAGATATAACATTAAATCGAAGGGAAACAAGGACATCATTTACATTCAGGAAAGTGAGGAGAAGCCCTTGCAATTGCAGTAAGTGTCTTGAGGCAGTCCTCAAGTCAAAATTGTTATTTATCACCAATACATAAGCTTTTTCTGGTTTGAGCAAATCTGTTTATTCCTTTGGGTAGTTTTGGCAGTCTTTGTAAGCCATTCCTGGATGGCTCAGGGTTAGGCATGCTGTATGGCTTGAGTTGGTTGCATTCATGTGGTTGCTGGAATTTGTCTATACAGGAAGGCAGTTGGCTTGCTCCAGAACCAGGCAAGTAATCTGGAATCTTGCATTTCATTGACACTTCAAATGTTTAAATAATGTAACAGAATAGAAGTAACTACTGTTCTTCAGGTTTACCTCAGTTTGATTGTTTTTTTGAGTGGGTCTGTAATTTTCTGAAAGTAAGTACATTAGAGAAGGAGAAGCAGACAGATCTGCAGTGATAGAGCCATGTAAGTGCCTTAGGGCAGTACAGATAATAATAGACAGGTGGCTCAATGATTACATAGAACTGAAGTCCATTTGTGCCCTCAGAACAGAATTTCACAGGCTGAGTTGCAATGATGTCATGATCTTTGGCATTGGGGACACAGTCTCAGTTCTGAAAACATTAACATAGCAGGATTAATGATCACTGCAGACAGCATCTGGTACATGTGGGCTTGTTTTCAGGTCATCAAACACTTGTGCAGTTTGACCTGCATTTCCGTTTTTAAAAGGTAAAAGGAGGAATGAAGCATTTTTTTGCATTTTAATATTTCACTTTTCATTTTATTTTGCTAAGTACGCTAAACCCATAAGGAAGCACTTAAAAAAATTAATATTCTTTAACTGTTGCTATATCTAGTTTACCCATCTGTCTGTGACAGCCAGAAAGGACAGCAAAGACTGGTACAACCTTCATTTCCCCACAATGAGATGGAGGCCTCGAAGCTGGAGCAAGAATATGTACACAAGGTGTATGAAGAGATTGCCACACACTTCAGCAGTACCAGGCATAGCCCATGGCCCCGAATTGTAGAGTTTCTCACGTCCCTGCCAACAGGATCAATAGTTGCTGATATTGGTTGTGGTAATGGGAAATATCTAGGCATCAGTGAGGATTTGTACATGGTAAGTAGTAGCTACTATCAGTTCCTTTCATTAGTTCTAGTGTTTATTCTGTCATGCAGTTGTAGCATGTTGGAGGTTCAGTTGTGGGAAGAATGCCAAGAACAGAAAGCTGTTTCCTGGTCCAAGATCAATTACTAGTTGTGTTAGGTTTCCACATGCATTCATTATGTGCATTACCCTTTTCTTTTTTTCAAAGCCACTTTTGCTTTGCAATTCAAAATGTGTTAATAAAAAAATAGTAATGGATGCAGTGGATTGAAAAATTGTAACAGATGGTTTAGCCTTTTGTTGTTGAATAAACGTGTTAAAAGGGAAAATGGTTGGGCAATTTGAATGCTTCCAACATTTTCACTTGGTTGATGCGCAGGTAACGCAATCTACATGTCCCTGAAATCTCCATAGGCAGCACTATTTTTCATGTATCCTCTTCAGTTCCCTTTGGCCTGGTGGCATGTCTCATTTGTGAATGACGCCTCTGTCTCTGTGCATAGGCCCAGTCAATATGCCAACATAAAATTCACTGGGAAGTCTAAACTTCGGTACAGAGTTGTGGTCTTTCTCTCACTCCCTTTTCTTCATTCTTAGGCAGTTCTGACATTGTTCTTGTTCATGTTCTCTCTTTCCCTGTCTCACAGTATGTACTTAGTCCAGTTTTACTCTTCTCCGTTCCTGTCAGGGAGAGATGAAGCACATAGAAATATGAGCCAAGAGATAGTTTTTATTGCAAATATTTCGAAGACTTTTTGGAAGAAATAAAGTCAAACTTCCTGTTGTTTTAACCCAAAAAAAATCTCAGAGGAGTGTGCATCATGGTATCTGCTCTCCCCTGTTCCAGAACTGTCTGATTTTTTTCACTTGCTTGTACTGGGAAACACTTTGAAATCCATCAGTCTTGAAAACTTCTATGTAGAGCAAAGCATTCATTATTGATAATAAAACTTGGAGTTGTTTGTCTGTTTCAGGAATTTATCTCCTGCTATTTATATTCACCTAAAAATGTAAGTTGTTATTTACAACCCTGTCTGTATTAGTAATGGATTTATTTCCCTTACCATTCTTATAGGCTAGAATAACATCAACCAATTTATAAGTAGGTATGTTTATGCCTGACTGCTGTAGCCTGCATATAATTATTAATGTTCAGTACCTTTCAGTCTTTCACTCCTGACTCCTATAAAAAATAATCAGCAAACCTAACTAGAGAAGAACAACTTTTATCAGGGTACCATGAAGATCAGCTGGTCCTAGAATGAATTTGGTAAATTGCACTTGTGGAGGTTTGTGGTAGACTTTTAAGGTGAAATCATTGCAAGGTGCTGTGTTCCAAAACTGCCAGCACCAGTCTGTTTTTTGGAGCCCACAGTTAACCAGCTAAGGGAAAGAAAGATCACATCAGCTGGCAGTCAAAGGAAATCCAGCCCCTTTCCTCTATTGCTTTCAGATTTACCTCATTCCTTATGTGTCTGCAGGAGAAAGACAAAACATGAAAAATAATAGTGAAAGGGAGGAAACTTTTAAAGAAGCAGTTCAGACAGCTGAAAAACAGAATCTGGGAACTGCTTCATTCAGTTGGCCTCCCTCAACATTATATTTTCCACTGGTGACAAGTAGTTGTTCTTGGTGGAGACAGACTTTAGACTTCACGTTTGCTTATTTTCATCTGCAAGTCAGCACAGTCTCAGGAGGATGGATGTAACTCCTTCTTTCTACTAGATTTATTCTTCTGTGGCAGCTAAAGTGTGGTTAAGGAAAACCCAGTGTATATTGTGTTTACAGATTTTTTTAAACTTTTGGCAAGATATCTCAAATACTGTTACTTCCATTTACCATGGGTTAGGCGTGGAGCTGAGGATGAGAGATTACAGAATATGTTTTATGTATCAGATGCATCATTGGGATAAAGGGAATGCTCTCTAGATGTAGAACATCAGTTTTCTCCCTCATTTACTCCTTTTTACTTGGAAGCATAAAATCCAGGCATAAACATAATCAGTTCTGCATCTCTTTTTTGTGCACAGTGTACTGGAGCTCTTAGCCTAGATCCTACTGGGAAAGAAGCAATAAAGCCGTGCTGTGAAATTAGGAATTATTTAGGAGTTGGGTAGAGCACTTTCGGCACAGCTCTGTAGCTTGGGGTGTTTGACTCAGAAATACTGAAAACCTGAGGCGAGCACTTCCTGAAGGCAAGCAATATGCTTTAAAGGTTACTTTATGCTTTTATGCTTTAAGTAGCAGTGCTAATGGTAGATCAAAGCTAAGGTAGCTCTCTTGATGGTTTTAAAATCAGGCACTGTCTGAAAATATCTCCGCTGTGGCCTGTGCTATTGTATTTGCTTCAGTTTCTTTGGATGATTACATGCAGCCTTATCTATTTGAGTATCCTTGTGTGACAATGAAATGCACGAGTCCAGCTAGGCTCAACAAAAGTGACAGTGCCGTAATGGCACAGTGAGAGAGCAGCAATAAAGAGCAGCAATTTCATGACAAATAAATTCAGATTAAGAATGTTTGAGTTAGAGATGGAATCCATGTCTGATGTAGCTAAGACAAAGACTGGAGAAAGGTTGAATTTAATATAGTTTCAGAGATAGCTTTAGGGTTGTTTTTCCACAATTCTCTCCCCAACCAGCCTCATTTGGGAGAATTACTTTAACAGATTTTATTTAAGTGCTTTCAAGCTTAATATTCATATCTGTAAGCAGGGCTTTTATGGAATGTTATGTCTCAGCCTTAACCATTCCCCCGTTACCGCAAAGGTTTCATTCCAGACCCAGTTGACATTATTATAAGGATCTCATCAATTTTTATGAGCTTTAGCTTTGTCTCTCAGTTTCCAGTGTTCAGGTAGGTGTGGTGATGTGTAAATCCCTGAAAAAATGTTCAGCATCCTCACAGGGCTCGGGTGTGAGTGAAAGACACTGAAACCTTTCAAATTTGTGGTTTGCCTTTTTAATTGAACAGATAAACTGGTGGGAAATCCAGTTGCAAACAACTGAAAATGCCATTGGGTAGATATTCTTTCTTTATATGTAAAGAGATTGCTCTCCTTGACAGAACAATGATGCTAGGAAAAAAATTATGGCTATGCAGGAGCCAAAATCATTTGTTTTAATACAGATGTTCCTATTTCTGAAGTGTGTGCCATTGAAAGGTAATTGGTAATATAGTTTATATTTCACAGGACCTTGTAAGACAGCCTTTTTCTGCGAGGTGTGCATCTCTGTTTTCTGCATTATTGTCCCAAACTGGGATCCACTGGAAATATATAAGAATTTGATTTTTCCAGAGTGTGGGGAAGAGAGAGGATTAATATTTGCTGTGGTATGGTTGCATAATGTTGGGTGGGTTTTAGCTGCACTGGGTTCATACTAATTAAGAACAGATTTCTCTCCCAAGGTCTTGTTAGAAGATAGTACTTTCTTAGTAGAAAGTAAAAGCAGGAAGGACAGAACTAATTGGTAAAGGTATACCTGGAGCAAGTTAACCATATCTTAGCAACTGAAGGGCAAGACAGAGGAACCTTTCCTGCCCTTTTCTCTCAATGGATAGCAGTCATTAAATTGATGAGAGATCTGGGAAGAGAGCTCAGAAGGAACTGGGCAGCAGCAACATAAACCCAGAATGAAAGCTGAGTCGCTCAGCTTGGTTCTGTTGCTTTGTCATTGAGAAATGAACTGCGTGTCTTAGACATAGCGCTTTGTTTCCAGAGACACCCTGGCTATATGCAATGGAAAACCAAAACACTACGTGAAAGGAATGCTAAAAGCCTGACTCAGACCAATTGGAGCAAGGAGATTTGTCTGTCTTGCTGTGGTTGTGCTGGCGTCTCTTTTTCTACGTGTGTGTGTGTGTGTGTGTTTGCTGGAATGTAATTTGGTTCCTTGAGGTTCTCATGCTATTAGTTATAGCTGAGGTATTTCTCTGGGGAGCCACATAATTCCATTCGGTCGCTGGATTTCAGAATTGGATGTTGTTTTCTTCATCACTTTCTAACGTGCTGAATAAATCAGGTTTCCAGATACTTAAATGAACTAATTCTACCAGGTTGAGTTAGTTATAATGAGATAATGTAGAAAGAAAAAATATAATGGTGGGCAACTTTGACCTGTCTTTACCTGTGTTTAAGTTTCCAAGAGGATTTATCTTTTGCAGATTTGCAGCACCATTACAAAGCAAGCTATTTATTTAGTGTGTTTTTCTCCCTAATGATCTATTTCAAACCATTGTGTTAAATAGATTTTATAAAATTTACTTTAGCTACTCCTGGATGAAACAGTGAAGGTGCCTGGAAACATGAAAGAGCAGATAACACAGCATCCACCTGTGTTATCCATTCCCAGGAAGGCAGTACAGGGCTGCTGCAAACTCAAACAGCTCACAGGTGTTACATTTGTGTCTCACTCCTTTCTCCTCTTTTCTCTTGAGCTTTTTCGATATTTTTATTGTCTCAAGGTTTGTGTTACCCAGCATGCTCAGAGTGGGTGTGGTATGCCAGAATGATGACATGCCTTTGCCTCTTTCCTAGGTTTTGTGTTTGCTGGGCTTCTACTTACAGTTACAGGCCTCTATACTAATATTTCCTGCCTTAATATAAGTGCTGGATGAAGATACAATGAAAATCAGTGCCTGAAATCCAAGTGGATTTCAGCCACAGTAAACAGGTTTCAGTGGCCATTCTCGTGCTCCTGTGTGCTGTTGTCCATATCACTGAAAGCAGTGAAGACAGGGGTGGTGATACTTCCCAAAAAAGCAGGAATGTGGGAATGGATGCATGGAGAAAAATCAGAGAAGCCTGAGAAACCAGCTTCCTTTGGGGAAATACTAAAAAGTGCAGAGCAACTTGCTGAGAGGTGGACTCTCTAAGAGTTAGATTCAGATGAATAGTCAGCCATGCTATTTGAGATATATATGAGAAATTGGTGGGACTCAGCAGGAATTTGATTTGGAAAACTGGGAAAACAGGTATAAGAAATGACTGAGAAGACTCATAGATAATAAGAAATAGAGAACTGTAGAAATGTGTACAACTTGGCTCACCAAGAGAGGTACTAGATTTGGTTGGGTTTGGACACTGAACTAATAGTAATTCATCTAGCTTTCTCCACTCTTCTGGAGAAGATATCAGCAGGGACAATAAATATCCTGTGCTGAGCATCAAAATTAGAGATATGAACTGGCAAAAATTAAAGCTTTCCAGTTATATTTTGAGATTTTTTTTTAAATGTTTGAACACATATTTAATTAGAGAGAGAAAAATAAACCTGTTGTTAATTAAAACAGTCTTTTGAACTCTTTTCTGTAAATGAAGCTTCATCACATCAAACATTCTGCGTGCTTTAGAATGTAGAAATCAGTTAGTAACGGAATTGGGAAAAGCTGAGCTTGGGATCTCTGACCCTGGCTGTAAATGTTTTCTGTACTCATAAAAACCACAGATAGGCTCATTTTCCAGCTGTAAGCTGGCATTGCACCACTAAAGTTATCTGTTTTTTGATAGCTTATTGTTTTCTAAGTTACTGAAACCAATGTATTTTGGGTTTTAGTGAATGCATGTCCCTTGTAAGCCAGAAAATGCAGGAATGTGGTGATTATAACTATTTTAAAACATTATGCAGAGATAATACTAGTAAAACAATTCTAAATTTGCCTAGCTTCTGCACCAGGCTTCTGTGGTGACTCCCTGTGTTCACCATTTATACACCTATGCATAGCACCTATTATCATGTTTACATTTAAAAGCACATAAAGTTTTAGCCTAATATACCTCTTTTAGAGCAGCTGTGCATTCAAAGGCATCTATTTCAAGGTCTCCATTTTCATTGCGAAACAGCATCTTTTGGCTGTGGATGTACATTGGCTTTAGTAAGTATGACAATACAAGTAAGCCTGACTTCATAATATTTGATATAATTTAGATGCAAATGAGGACTTTGCATTTTGGCAGTCATGCCTTTGTTCTCATTCTGATTTCATTGGATTTCATCAACATACGTGGTAGTCCTTTTCAAGGTCATTTTGGGAACAGGGGATTGCGTTCCATTATCCAACCTGTTTTCATTATAGATGCGGAGGGCCAAAGCAATTCTTCCTGGGAAAGCTTGCTGTCAGTGGAAGCTGCAAGTATTCTTCTCCCTCTTTCTACCAGCAGTGAATTCAGTCCTTTGAGTTTTATTATTAAGTACTACAAGCTAATGTTTTAATTGCAGAAGTAGTTAAAGGCACCAGTAATGAGGTGTGCAATCGCTAACATGCAGGTTGCCAGAGTAATTTAAAGGCACTTAGTTGGCTTCCAGTGTGAAGTGATGGGGATTTATGTTTACTTTCAAGTAAACAGGAGTCTCTTTTTTTTTTTATTCATGAGCAACTCTATTCACTCAATGCTTCAGTAAATGTGAGAGGCCAAAAAATACATGGGAAGAAAGCAATGCTAGGACTGATCTTTTCAGGTCTTTTTATTGCTAATTGGCAGGACAGTGTGTACATACTCATAGGGCTATTTTTGCAGAGGATTATCTTGTGTTGTCAGGTTGGCATTTTCACAACTGTTTCATTTATTTTGGATCAAAAGTCAGGGACCTGACTAGAAAGTAGCTCACGTGGAAGCCTTCAGGACATAAGACTGGAACAGAATTCTAGTTTTCTTCAAAACTGTGAGGGTAGGCTGAAAGAAAATTATTTGAACTAATAAAATGAAAAATTATGATGGAAAATAAATATATTTTAATCACTTGAAAAGAGGTTTTTAGTTTTAGCAGTACTGTTGTCTCTGCTGGGTTGATTAAGCAGAACAAGTTGTTTGTTATTCTTCTTGCATCAAAGGTGGTTTAGTATTCTTTCAATATTGAATGCAATAAACACTGTCAGCAGTAATTATTTAGGATTCTGAACCTGTTCACTGCTATTTACTTGTTGCTGGTCATTGAAAACAAAAATAAATGTAATATTATACAAGCAGAGTTTGATATACAACCTGGTAGCAGGGCTTTGGTTAGAGTATTCAGTGTGCATGGCAGATGGGAAAATGAGTATAGTGCATGCCTCACTCTATTTCTTTCTATTAGAAGGAGTATTGATCAGTTTGAATTTATTGGGTTTTTGCAAGCATGTAAAAAAACCTCTTCTATATGCTGATTTTTCAAAGATGATAAGTTTTACTGTCTTTGACATGGACACTGGGCAAAGTTTAAAGGGCCAAAACCCAGATGTTTTATGAGGTGTTTTGAAATGGTTTCTAGGGGTCATTTTATCTGAACTGTACAGAACCTTGGAAAATCATGTGTTTAAAATTTTTATGGATCATGATACTAGGGGGTAAGAAGCCTGTGTCTGAGCACTTCCTTACTTACACTGAAGCAAGAAAACCTGGTTGTGATCAGTGACACTGTATGACATACTTTAGTGATGCCTCCAATGTCACCAGATGGTCATTTGCACTTGTAGATTGGCTTTTGTCAGTGCAGTACTTTAGTGCTTCAAATGTTGTCAAGTTAACAAATGGCAATTGAAATGGAAAGAAAATACTGAGGTTAGGTCACCTCTCATTTTGCTGATTTCAAGATACCTTGAATTAGTTTTGAAGAAAAGTTAGGTTGAAACCTGGGACATCTTACGCTGGTTCAAAATCAGGGTGGTATAATGAGCTGTCTGCTATCCAGCCTCTTAAGGCTATTTTCTCACTCTTGCTCTTGTTTTGATTTCAAACTAAAATGTGTTCCCTCAGTAGGAGACTGTGATGACTCTACATCAAGTAAAAATCATTTTCCAGTCTTGTAATTATCCTCTTACAAAAAGCTTAATGAAACACTTTCTGTTCTAGGTTGGCTGTGATCGCAGCAGAAACCTGGTGGATATTTGTGGAGAAAAGCACTTCCAGGCTTTTGTCTGTGATGCCCTGTCGGTGCCAATGCGCAGTGGCTCCTGTGACGCCTGCATCTCTATTGCTGTAATACACCATTTCTCAACAGCAGTAAGTCACCCCTCCCTGTGCTCCACTGTGCTGCTGTACTGCTGTGCAGAGCTGCTAATACTACAATGTAAGCAAAAGGGAAGACCAAAATGGGAAGAAGTTGAAGGTTTGCATTCAGTGTAAGCAGCTGTCAGAGCAGAGTTAAGCTGCTATGCTACTGCTTCTTCTTAGACTTTTCTGTTCCCATTCTCTCTCTCCTTATCAGGTGTCCTTGCTCCTCCTGGTGCTTTGGTCTAAATGGTTGTGTTTCATTTTGGTCTGCTTACAATTAATGACATAGGAGAAGGGGGCTCTGCTTTGGGAGTCAGGAGCTGTATTTCTTCCTGGCTCAGATCTTTGGCTCTTGGGCAGATCTTGTAGTTTTGGTTTTTTTGCCTCTGTGCATTCATTTTCAATCTCTGAATGAAAGGGACACTACTCACTAGTCTGCCTTATCTCTGGGCTATGCAAAGTTCTCCTGGCAGGAACTGCATGATGGTAACAAGCTTCTAGACCATGAAGCCACCTTAGGGGGCCCCACAGATCTCTCAATACCAGAAATGCAGCAAATGTTTCCAAATCCAGTATAAAAAAGTCAAAAGAAGTCTGTTTTGGAGAATGCTGACGTATGTTTGTTTGGGTGGTCAGAGGACCTGTGTTTAAGCTGTAAATCTGACTTCTTCAGCTGCAAACTTAGGGTGTGCATCATCAGGCTTGGTAGATTTGAATCTGGGATTTTAAATAATGAATAACTTTATTGAAGAGGAATGTGTCATTTTCAGATGGACTGTGATGCTTTGCACAGGACTATTTTCAAATGAAAAGAGAATAATAAAATCCTTTAAGTTGAAAAAGACCTTTAGATCATCTAATCCAGCGCTGCCAAGTCCAGCACTAGACCGTGTCACTAACTGCCACATCTACATACACGTCTTTTAAATACCTCCAGGGATGATGACTCCACCACTGCCCTGGGCACCTTGTTCCAATGCTTGACCACCCTTTCAGTGAAGAAGTTGTGTTTCAGTGAGAACTGTCTTTAGAAAAATGTCTTGGCTTGCACATAATGATGGACTGTATAATGAATGAAAATGAGCAGGGGAAAATATCCATTACTTTTAATTTTGATTGTATCTTGGGGGAACAGTAAGGATGAGTTGATGCCATTCTCCTTACTTTTTGTTTATGTACTAGCTTCACATTTCTGCTTTTCCTTTCCAGGAGAGGAGACTGGCTACTATCCGTGAACTAGCCCGGCTTCTTAGACCTGGTGGAATGGCACTCATTTATGTCTGGGCAATGGAACAAGAATACAAAAACCAGAAGTCTAAATACCTTAAGGAAAAGAATGGTAGTAAAGGCAAAGAAAAGGAAATCAATACTGGCACAACCCAGAGACTGCTTACTGATCAAGTGCCTGGAAGCAGCAACCAAGACTCAGCATGTTTTGACCAACTCATTAATGACTTGAAGGACGAAGGCTGCAATGCAAGGCCAGTGGGAGCAGACTCCAGACTGCCTGTTCATACTAACCGAACCTCCTTTCAGTCTCAAGATTTGCTGGTTCCCTGGCACCTGAAAGGTGGTACTAAAAAGAAAGAGGAAGGTGTTAATACAATTTTGGTTCCAGCTGACTCCAAGGAATCCCAAGAACTCAGTCCTGTTTTCCACCGCTATTACCATGTGTTCTGTGAAGGGGAGCTGGAAACAGTGTGCAGATCCCTGGATTGTGTGAGGGTTCAAAAGAGTTACTATGATCAGGGAAACTGGTGTGTGATTCTAGAAAAGTTGTAGTCTGTGGTGTTGCCTCCACTATCTGTAGTGTTTTCTTTGTTTTTTACAGTGTGAAAGGTATTTTTAATGCAGGCTGCAGCTATTGCCTCTTTAAAAATATCAGAATAAAGACTGCGTTTGAATTAATAATGGTGACTGTATGCATATTTTAAAAAAATAGTGGCCAAATTTAGATACTACATCTGCAGAGTATTTACTTCTGTGAATTACAGTGGAGAGGATTAAGTGGGAAGATACTGGCCATGCAAATGAGTAAGGCCAGTGCTGAGCTTTTAAAGACAAAGGGTCTGGTTCTCCCTTCCCTTACACCAGTTTATGGTGGTGTAGCTGTAGTGGTCTCCCTGTAGCCCACAGCTAATTAGAATGGAGCTCTGAGCAGGAAAAGCAGAGCTGTTTGCTGTGTGAATCTGTGGGCCAGGGAGGAGGAAATGAATTGCATGTGAAGTAGTTTAGCTGAAGAGTCAAAACATTGCCTCAAATTTGATCCTGCCTGTTTACGTGTCCATGAGGGGTCACAGGTCTCTTTCAATTTAAAATTTATTCTCTTGGTTGTGGTAATAATGGTTTCCTCAAAGGGAACTGCAAAGTCAGTGGGGATACCAGAACCATTTTTCTCTTCTTTGACTCTCAAACACCTGCGATTCATGCTGTCGCTCCCCAGATTTCCATAGCTCTTCATTGTAGTGTTGTTTGAGAGCTCCTCTAAGGGGTGAGTTGCCCAGCTGGAATACCCTGACCAGCTCTGCTAAATGCCTGTGTTCCTGTGAGCACAGATCTCTGTGGTGTGGAGTGACCCTCAGATCCCCCTGGGGAAAAAACAGGAAATATATTAAAGTGAAAGCAATATTGGTGCAGATTTTCTGCAGAGTACTTTCAACCTCTGAAAGCTGGCAGTGGAACAGGTTTTATTTACTGCATTTCAGAAGGGCAAAGAGTAGAGAGGAACTGATGCTGGGTTGGCTGACTCAGCAGCCCCTTTGGCTGTGGCCTGCGATGACTAGCACAATTTATTTAACACAACTCTTGTGCTATCCAAGGGGAGTGCCACCTGCAATGCATTTCTAGAATTAAAATACACTGGGCTGGCTTTTGCAGGGTTAGTGGCTATTGGTGCCTCTGGAAACAAGGGCTGCTAAGCTGCCTGTTATGTTGCTTTATCACCTGTAGTTGTAGCAAGACCTATGGTATAGGCAGATCATGTTGCTGCAAACTGATGGCATCTAAACCAAGGTGCCCATCCTAAATCATGTGGGAACTTGGAGATCAGCCATGTGCCCTTGGCCTACTCCTGCCTGCCTCACTTGTGCAGGTTAAGGGCTGCTGTGCTGGCAGTTTGCTCACAGTCACCATTTCTCCTGGGCTCCCATCTTATAATGGAGAAAGCCTGATGGGAATGACAGTGGTAAGAGGGGAGTTTGCTGCTACCACAGTTCACCTGGTGTGTGTCTTGCTCACTATCTTGCTTCCAAAGAGCATTTGGGGAAGATCTCATTCCTGAGCTGCACACATTGTCCATGTAGCCCTGTCCTAACTGATTTCTTTCCTTTGGGCTACATGGAAGCATCTGTGGCTATGAGCCTGCTTGGGCATGTTCAGTTGATTTGCATGCAGTCAAGGAACATGACACAGCTGGAAGCATGTATTTGCATCAGGGTCTCTGAGCTGGCTTCAGTACTGGGACACCATGTCTGAGTGCAGCAAAGCACCCAGTTCCCAGCTGGACTGTGGGACCAGAGCTAGGACGCAGTGCCACACAGTGTCAGTGTGTCCCTGGTGAGAGAGGGCAGGGACAGCCTCTGCGGGGTGTCTGAGCAGCGACTGACTCACTAAATTGAGCTGCCTATTACTTCTGATTATGTGAATTGCATTCGTGTAGAATAAAGTAGGAGGGCCACGGACCACATCTCTCAAGCTCTGTGTCTGCACGGCCCTGTGTTTGCTGGTGCCTGGACTCCTGCTGAGCACACAACAGCTGCTGTTTGTACATTTGCCTGTAGGTCCATTTTCTGTAAGAATATACAATGTACAGGCAAGGAACACAAGCATTGCTTGAAACAGTCTGAAGTGTTGCCGTATCTTGACCTTGTGTGACAAATTAGGAATCAGGTCTGCAGCTGTGCTCGATTACTCCATGTACTCCTGTTGTGACTGGGGATAGCTCAGAGGTGCCGCCTCCAAATTCACAGCTGGCTCTGAGCTGGGCACAGAGTTAAGCAGTGTTCTAACCTGGGGCTTGAATGCATCAAGTAGACATAAACCTTGAACAGTCGAATGTGGACTTTATGTAACAGAGTGATCTATTTTTCACAGTCCTGTGGCTCCTCCAGAACTCTGCTGCTTCCCTCTGCTTCCCTGGCAGAGGCAGCATTAGGCAATATCCAGGGTGGCATTCAGCATTTCTTGACTGCCAGGCTGATTAGCATCATTTGTTGACTGCCACTTATATGAAGAGGTCAGATTCCCTCTTTCACCAGTTCTGCAGTGAAGCACCTGGAGTGTCTGAGAGAAGAGTCAGATTTTGCTATCAGCCTTTGAATATCACCTGTCTTTCTGTGAGGTATTACTTTTAGCTATGTCACAGCAGCATTTCTAATCCATTTCACCCCAGCTCAGAGCAGAAAGTGTTACTCTCCCTGTCCCAGGCAGCCTGATGGTGATGGGTCTCAGCAGATGTTGGTTCTGGAAGGAGGTTCTGGCATGGAGAACACCAGCTTGGGCAACCCTGGTTGAACAGGCACACTGGGTTGAACATGCAATACATAACTCCTTACCAAAGAGAGCTTTCCTGGCTTTTCTGAGGGCTGTGAGCTGGAGGATGGTCACAGCAGCACGTCAGCTCTTGAAAGACACTAAAGGAGTTAAGAGTACTCTGACATCCTCTGGAAATGTTATGAAACATTTCTTTGATTAAAGTCAGGCAGCCTCTTCAGATGCTCGAAGAGGAATCAAGTGGTGAAGGAGAAAATTACAAGGGAGGATGGCATGTAGGTGTTAACAAAATGTATTGCAGGGGTTACTGAGGAGTTCTTCTAGCACAGAATTATGTGCCACCACAGCTGCCTTCTGCAGTACTCACTTCCCCCTTTTTAACTCCTGGAAGAATAATGAGATGAAACTCTTTAAGGTGAATAGCTGGATTTAAATGTTAGAGGTTTCACAGTGCAGTGGTTTTCATAGTAATTATGTTCCCTTTTTGGCCTTACTTAAATAACAAATGTGCTTAAATGCTTATTCATTTGCAGTCTAGAAGATAAAAGGAAAGCAAAGCTCCATGTGCGTATGACCTGTGCTGTGAATGCAAATGCTCCTCCTTTGGCAGTCCTCCCTGACGTCCCAGACATCCTCAAAGTGCCTCAGTGCACTCAGAAGTAGGGAGGTGGGAGTTTCTGCTCTGGCCCAAAGATGACCCTTGGTTTGGCTCCGGGCACATGCAGAAAAATATGGCTGTTTTGGGGTTCCCTGTTCCCTTTATTCCCAGCCTCTTGTTCCAGAGACCACCGAGGCTACCCCAGGTCAGGTACCCCTGATGCTTCATTGAACCACGTATTGCACTGTCCTGCCCTGACAAAGCAAGTGCTTCAGAGCATCCCTGGGGCTTAAAACTACTGAAACAATGATGTGATTTGTTGTCCCAGGGGCAGACAGAAAATGAAACCTGCAAAGCACAGAGGACTTCTTTTAACTTCACAGAGTTAAAAGAGTGATGTCCTGGTGCAGCCACACCAGTGACAAAAACTCCTTCAGACCTCAGAGAAGCTGGATTTCCCTTGAAGTGCTCAACTTTAGCATGGAGTAGGGTTTAGAGCAGCAGATGGCACAGGACAACATGCTGGCTGCATATCTTTGCTCACTGAGAACCACAAAAAGCCGCACAGGGACCGCAGCTTCTCTTCAGAGATCTTGAAGGACTGGCCTTGGCACAGTGAGCAGAAGATGAGCTTTTGTACTGCTCCCCAAGGCTATATGAAGGCAGCATAGAGGAAAATGCAGTGGGAAAGGCAATTTGCCCTGGTTTTGAACTTCTCCAAAAGTTTTAATATGATGGAAGAATTCTTGGTAGGCTTATATGTCAGTCTTTGATCAAAACATCAAAATCTACTTGAGAATGTATTTCTGGTGAAGCTTCCAAATGATCATTCTGAGAGAATATTTAGGTCTTATCTGAGCAACAGGAGTCTTAAGTTTGCTATTTGCCTGTTTTGGTGGTGTGTTTGTTTTGTTTTGTTTTTTTTCTGTTTAGTGTATGTTAGTATTTCAGAACTGTTTCTCTATTTTTAGCGAAGTTTGTCAAGATCTTTATTTTTCTGTTAACAACAATTTCCAGCATGATTTTATGGAAATCTGTGGTGAAGAAATTGTGGATGTCTGTAGTGAAGTTCTGCGTGTGGAATAAAAAAACATTTCCTTGTGCACAGAACAATGCAAAAAAGCTTTATACTTTAGGTAAAACATTTAAAAAAAGCCAATATGGAAAAATTTCACGTGCTCTTCCCTATCACAAGCCATGCTTTAGCCATTGGACTGACTGATTAAGTCTGTTTTTACCTGTCTTATGTCAGTCTGGAAGGGGCTTCAATGTGCAGCCCACAAATTTCCTTTGTCACTGGGTCCATATTTCTGCAAATTTCACAACTGGGATTACATTAACTTTTCTGCCTTGCCTTCTGTACGGTTAATAGTGCGTACTGTCTTAGCCCCTTATGTCTCTGCTTTGCAGTGGTGCCTAGAAAATACTGGAGCAGCGTGCTACCAATAACCTGTCCCACAGCTGTGTGATCCTTGCTCCCCTTGTCTGTATCCTTATTTCTTTCTACCTTATTTTGTACATTTTCTGAGACGTGTGCTGTTTGTGTTTGCACAGTGCGAGTGCAGCTGGCTGCTCCTCTGCTGCTCTGTTTCACACAGGGTTTGGTTCCATAGGCTTGTTCCTCAGCAGCAAAGGCAGATTGACACTTGTCTTAAACTGCACATCCCATCTCTTGGCTGTGCTGAAAATTCTGTTTGAGATGGCTTCAAGAAGAAAAATTATATTAGACACATTTCGTAGGAGGAAAGAGGCCTGAGACAGGTAAGATCGCCCCAGCTCAGGGTTATTCCATGGACACATGCAGATATGTACTGAGGGTCCAGG